AACCATAGATGGTTAAGGATTGATTGTGTGACTTATGTTGTTTAGGTATACAACAAAGCTCGACGGTTTAAAGATATTAAATCTACCGATTTACCGAGTATATCCGACATAAGTTCACTACGGAAAGTTCAAAGGAAAATCTACTTATCCATATGCAATTAATTCTTGCATGTAAAACACACACACGTTCGTGCATTCCTTTAAGTTTATAGCCATTCCCCATGCACGTGGGGGAATTGTTGGGTTTTGTTATTAATAATAAAAGAGGTGTGAATGGAAAATGGTTGAAAAAAAAATGGAGGGAAGTGAAATTTTGAATTAGTTCTTTTTACTAATGCACTTTGTCCCTCATTGGTAGAAGGAAAGAAAATCTTTGTGTATATATAGAGAATCTCATCTTTTAGCTCTTAAAGAGTTAAGAAGAAGGCAAGCCTCGCTCCGTCGTCGTCGTCACTCGGCTTCGGCTTCGGATTTGGTCAAAGATTGATTGATTAATCTTTTTGGACGAAATTCTTTTCAATTATTTAATTAATTAATTAAATTAATTAACAAAAATTCAATCCGAAATAATCCATGACCTGCGACCCAGTCCGGTCCGGTCCGTTTTCTTTCTCGGATTAATTTTAAATCCGTTTGTTTTTCCCACAATTTTTCCCACATGTTCCAACAATTATGGCTGTTCTGAAAGGTTGCAAACCTTTTCAGAAATAGTGTCAAACTGGTTATAAATATTCCTTCAATCCCAGAATTTTTACTTATGAAATTTTCTGATCTTCTTCTTCTTCTTCTGCACATAAAAATTCCAGCGTGTTTTACAGCCTTCGAGTGGTTCGTTGTTCATCGGCATTTTTGGTACCAACACTTCGGTGAGTTAAATCGTTTTATTTTGGGAGGATATATTCCAGAACCTTGGGTACTTGCGAGGAATAGTTTCCTTAAGGACACACTGTGTATTCAGTGGGCTCGATTTATTCCTATACTGTTTTCAAAAATTTATTTTGACGTTCCTATACTGTTTTTAGAATTTATTTTGACGTTCTAGTTCTACTAACTTTCTTTTTCTGTTTTTTCAGAAAGTTTATTGTTTTATTGATTTTACAGCAATACAGTTTTAATAACAAACTCGAAACCTCAAACTACATAGAGGGAGATAATTATCATCTTATCAAAAATATAGTAAGTAAAATTATAAGTATATTGTGATCCCATTTTATATTTGGAAGGGAAGAAAGAACACATATGAAAAGCGAACAACAACAACAACAATAACGACCAAGTGAAATCTTATTAGTGGGGTCTGGGAAAGATAGTGTGTATTTACTCTTACCCGAGAAAATAAAAAAAACTATTTCTGATAGACTCTCGGTTCAAGAAGACAACACAGCAAAAGTGAAAACAAGAAACATAAGAGAAAAATGTCTTCTTTTACATTCTTTGATTTGTATAGTTCACTATGGTAAGAGTGGAAGTTGTGATACTAATGAAATCTCTAAACATATTTTAAATTTTTATTTAGAAATCACATAAATAGCATTACAAATCATTCTTTTGATAAAATCATTTTCTTTCTCAAAAAGATATATTTTTATATATTTAAAAAATTATATTGAACAAAAATTCGACTCCCAAATCAAAAGTAATATTGTCATGATTCATGAGTCCAATAATTCTTTCCCCCATTTTCACTCATATTTTCACCTTTTGTACTTCTGTTCCTTTTTCCTTTCATTTCCTACATTCAAAGCATATGGTTAGAATTCTGTCCAAATTCTCTCCAACAGAAAAATTCCATTCCAAATTTCAAAAGCTAAAAAAATATATTCTGATTCTCCTATACATCATCAAAACATTCTGATATTTATTTTGATGTCTCGACTAATTTGTGTTTGCGCTACGTAAAGTCTATGGGGAAAACGTTCCTATTGTTTGAGCGCTCGAACTCAAGAAAATTGATTAAGGCTGGAGGGATCCTATTCAACCCACCATAATTCTTGATGGTTAATCATTGACCGCGGGTAGTTTATAAATTCAAAGTTACTCATAGATTATTTCTTTATATTATAAGTTTATTTTTTATTTTTCTTGTTAATTAATAAAATCCAAGCTACCTGCCACCTTGATGATTAAAAAAAAAGAATATTATATTGTTAGCCGTTTCAAACACTTAAAATTTTTACTAACCATCTCAACCATAAAATTTGCAGCATTTATCACAAAAACAAAATAATGGACCATTTATTAGGGTTCATAAATGTTTTAGGTTAATTACAAAGATTAATTCTTGAGAGGTCACTCCACGCTTATTTCAAAGAGTTTTAGCTTCTATAATGTAAACATTTAAAATTTTGATAAACACTAATGAGAATAGAGTTAATATTATGAAGAAAAAAATGACCAATATTTCAAGAGATAAATAATCAATAACGTCAATTGACTTATTTAAAGTAGTCATGTCTCGCGAGGGAAAGAAGATTAAACACAAAATGAATTAGACAACACGGAAAAATAATTATCGTTTCCAGTGGGCGTTTGGACATAAGAATTATAAAATTCCAAAAAAAGTATTTTTTTTTTCAAGTGAAAATGGTATTTGAAAATTAGAGTTATGTTTGGACATAATATAATTTTGGGTTGTTTTTTAAAATTTTGTGAGTGATCTGAGTAAAAAATTTTAAATGTTTAAACTTTTTGCAAATCTATAAAAATGTAGACCAAAAAAAAGGGGGAAAAAAGAGTTTGTTAAAATAAATAAAAATGTCAGCAATATAATGGAGATATACCAAAAATACCCTTGACAAGAACACATGTCTTTCCAACACATTGACAATAACTATCACCATAAGTTTTATGCACTTTTTTTAGAAAAAAGGAAAAGATAGAAGGATCCACAAGGTAGAATTATGCAAATTAAAATGGTCCCCTAGTTCCTTTTTACAAAATTATGTTTGGGTAATGTGCTTATCAATTATAAAGTCAACAACCATTTGCCACATGCAAAGATGTAAAGATCTTCAAGCAAAGTACCTCCACTTTGAAATAAGTTTCACCTTTTTTTTCTTCACAAAGGATACTCTTTGTCATGTGACAATGTCAATTTAGTGCACAAAGTATTTTGTGTTCATGCGGGTTCGAGGAAGGGCTATATCATAAGGGGTATAATGTAACCAGTCTATCAAGCATTAATGGCTAATTTCACGACTAAAACTCCTAACTCCACGGCTCCAACCCTTGATGAAGGTAGCCCGGTGAAAGACGGAAGAAATTATTTATTCTTGAGAGATATTTATTGTCTAAACATAGCTATCAAAAAGAGACACGCCTAGTCGAAGGGGTTTATTGATGGTTATTTCGTCAAGTAAAAATGCTTAAATGGAAAATTCGCAAATTAATAACCAGGTAGAAAAATTTAAGGGATCATAAGGTCATTCTGCATAAAAGTTAAAAATCGTGACATATTAGGACTTATGTCACCCATGAGACTCATACCCGATAAGTAAAACATCTCACCTTACACTTCAACTTCTTAAACACAATAGCCAATTATAAGAAAAGAATTGATTAACTTACTAAAAAAATCATTTCCAGTGAATAAGTTTCATCTTGTCTTTGTTCTAATTGCTGCCAAACATTCAAAGTCCTCATAAATATATAAAATTTTGGATCTGGCAATAGTAACATAACCTTCCTAGATGGCATCAGGCATCTAGTCTAGTGTAGGTAAAAAAAAAATCATAAAAACAACACATTTTTTGGATTCAGTGCCAACACAGGCAATAACAAGTTTTGCTACTTAGCCATTGGGCTTCTGACAACTTATACTGTCATTAATTTTCTATTATCTTATCTCTGTAATTGAGTTGAATTACCTATTTAATTTCCTTCCAGTTTTTCATGGATGGTATAAAAGTGCAGCTAGATATATAATCTCTGTGGGGTTCAAGAAACTGTAATAAGTTATTTCTAGGACTTAAATTCATAACCTCCTAGTTATATGACCGTAACTTTTACGTTGCATCAAAGTTTCGCTTCTTTTATATAATAATATGATTTTCAAAATCCATCATTTTCTTACTGCATCATCCATATATTATTGTGAAAATAGCATATGCTAGCCAATTTTCGGACTGGTAATTGAAAATAGCTAGCACTAGCAAAGTCATAAAAAAGCCATTGTTTTGCTGAAACACAATAAAGTGAGGGCTTTCCATCCCCCCCCCNGGAAGGAAACGAAATAATCTCAATTTTACGACAAATCTGGTCTGATGGTTGTTCTCTACTAACCACAAGGATATAAGTTACTCTTTATTTCATCTTCGGTGCCATTGCTGGAGTAATGGGCACATGCTTCTCGGAAAGTTCCAACATAACATGCTGGATTATGGAGCTCATGTGTATAAACTTTTAGCATATTATGTCGGAACTCCAGCACACTGAAAGTTATTACGTTGGATTATGGAACTCCTAGCATATAAACTTCCAGCATATTATGTTGGAACTCCAGCACATTATGCTGGAATCTCATATGTAAAAAATTCGAACTCCAGCATATTCGCTGAAATTTTTTCGGATTTTTAAGGGTGTTTTTGTTCAAATTTTATCTTTACATGAAAAAAGTGGCTAAATTTTAATTACTTTTGAAACTGTGGCTATTTTTCAATTACCAATTGTAAATATGGCTATTTCTGAGTTTTTCCCTGTATTATTTGTATCAGGCTATCAACTAGGGTCCATGATCAGAGAATAGCTTCTGGTAGCTCACTGATCAGCATGCATTAAATTTTAATTTTTGAGCCTGTCCACTGTTCAACCCAAAGTCAAGAAATCTATACCTCACATTCTGCTCATAAAGAAATTTGGCTGCAACGGTGGTATAAGGAATCTTCCTCTTCAACACCACATAATTAGCTCATATACAGGCAGAAGAAAGAAAGTTCAAATGCAAGAAAATTGACCATTAATTGGGGCCTAATACGTGTACCAGACACCGAGTGGAAAATTGAAAAAGGAAAAAAGGTGACCAGGAGTGTCATATCATTTTAGTATTTTCATTCTTGCAACTCCTTTAAGCTATTATATTTGGGACTAGGGTCCTCCTTCCCTGGTGCTTTTATACACATGGAATTCCTACAATATCAAAACCTACCTTACACATTGCTATGAATATAAAAAGACTTTTAACAATCATACAATATGATGTAGATTCTATGAAGAGAAATAAACTCACAGTTAAAATTGCCATGTTGCTATTGTTTATTGGTTCATATCCACATCTTCCCTTTAGCTGGTACAGTCTTCAATGAAATGATAGTGCTGCATTTATTTGGATTCAATTCAAGAGACCATCAAGCTATTGCAGCGGTAAGTTAGGTTTACTTTGATAAACTCTCCTCACATCTGATAAAACTGGAACGATATAGAGTAGATAAGCATGGCCCCTGTGCAGCAACAACAACAACAACAAAAAACCCAGTGTAATCTCACAAATCGAGTGATGGTCTCCTCTTATGTACAATGGAAGTACCTTACTTTAAGCTGAATGACAATAAATATTACTCACATTATTCCTATTTCAGTGTCAAACTACAAAATGGGATACAATTATTTTGAACTGTACAAGCCCTGAAGGATCTCTTCAAACACTGGAGTACGGACGAGTGAATTCAAGTTGCTTTGAAGTGTACGAATCAGAAAGAGTACCATCGACACTGAAATCCAACAAATATTCCTAAAAGTAATGGACCTGCTACTTTTCTTCAGTCAAAAGCAAATCTTTTAACTCTCAAAGGAACTTGTTTCTTCATCTTCACTAAAGCTACACGGCATCTCAGCAGCAGTCCTATATATAGAAAATACAAATGGAGTCATTGCAAACATAAAGAATTTTTCAAAATCTTTGGTTTTGCTTGCAAAAAAAAACACATAATGACTGCTTAATAAGACATACTAACCAAGAATTTTTCAAATTTTTTGGTTTATTCTTGCAAAATAGTACATCACCTTGCTTTTATAATTGGTCATAGCAGGTAGAAAGTCTCGTAAGATAACATCTCAACTTAGTAACTACCAAGAAGATAAATGCACATGGTACTACAAAAATATGAGCCTGCACTTTGTTCATGAGTCAAACTTCTAGAGAAGGACCGAGATAAGCACATAAAGGTCTTAAATCAGTTAAAAGATGGCATGACACACAGCCATTATTCTTCTTCACTTCAAATTGCCATTTTATATTTGAAATTGAATAAGAGAATGCATTCAAACTTCAAAGGGTAAATTATGACATCTAATAACATGATCATCTCACAATGGAGTTATATTCCAAGAATCCTATTAAATAAACGTGTTAAAAATACAGATGCAGATTCACGCATACTAAGTGGTGTAAGATCAAGTACTTTAAGTTGGTCTAACCTTATCCGATGATTTGTCTGCAGTGGCATTCCCATCACAGGTGCTCTCCTCAAGTACTCTTGATGGTCAGGAACTTCATCCATTGGACGATGTACAACCATCTCTCCAAGTATCTATGTAATATAGCGTAACTTGTCTAACCTGCCACCATCTCTCCAAAACTCGAACAAAAAGGGCACGTTAAGTATGGCTATCTTCAGCAAATGGAAAAATAGGACTACTCTTAGCCGAGTAACTTGAACCACCAGTATATAAGCATATAAAATAATTCTAATATAATCACGTCCGAAATTGGTCAACAACTTTCAAAAGGCTATAGGTTTCAGAATCTGGCCTCGCCCCTCCAAGAATCATTCTTTTAAGCAGATTTGGATCATATACCTTCCCCTTAACATACGCCTTAATTAACGTATTGTACACAAAAGTATACCTAGTATAATTTGCTTTCTTCAGTTCTTCAAACAACTTTTCAGCATTCTCTACATCACCATTATCTGCAAATATATCGATTATTGAAAGAGTAGTCTCCAACCATGGAGTTGATCTTTTCACCTTTATGCTTGCTGCCATATCCATCCCCAATTGAAGAGTTTTAATAGCCTCCTTAATTAACCCCGCTCTCAAGCAACCAAGAGCAAGATGCCGATAAGTAATGGCATTTGGCTTGCACCCACTTTTCTCCATCTCCTTATACAATGCAGTGGCTTTGGTGATAAGTCCATATCTGCAGTATACAGCTATCAAGGAATTGAACTGCTCATTTGACTTCAAAGAATTCCTTGATTTCATTTCGGACCATAGCTCTTCAGCACGACAGATATCTCCGATCCTACCAAATGCTTCGATCGCCAGGACATAACTCTTAGACCTAACATGGGACAGCTCCATAATGATGCCCCATATTCTCTCCAAATCATTCCGCTTCCCCAAATACCCATAAAGTATGATAAGAATGTCCAATGTAGACCAGTTTCGTCCAGTTGCAGACTTCTCAAGAGCTTCAACATAGGTCTCACAAACTGTATACAACCTAGCCACAGCATGTGCAGTGGCCAATATGCAGTATGATACCTCATTCGGTTCAACTTCTGCTCTCTTCATGTCACCAAATACTTTTAACAGGCGTTCAATATTGTGTTCATTTGCTTCTATCTTGAGCAGAATATTAAAGGTCGAAACATGTGGAATGACCTTATCGGCTTTCATCTGCGTCAGGATTTTAGGTATGGACTTCTTGCGGCTTGGGGAGGAGTGGAGAATAATGAGATGGTTGAACACCAAATAAGATATGGGATGACCCAGCTCTCTCATTTTCTTCATATATGCTAGTGAAAGCCTTATTAGGCCTCTGTTCAAGCATCCGAGTATAAGATTGTTGTAAAGCAACTCATTTTGGAACTCAGATGGTATTCGTGAGAAAAGGCTTTCAGCTTGTGATATCCCATGAAGCTTAGAAGTGAATTCTAGTAAATATGAGTAATCTAGTTCCTTTGGTCTGTAAGGTCTTTCCCTTATAACCCATTCCATCACCTGTGAAAAGTAAACCACAGAAGATTAAAAATACCCCTCAATATCAATATAATTACATTTGAAGTTCTAACTGAGCACCAAATTTATACTTTTTTTTTTATTGTTAGCACCAAATTCTATCTATTTAATTGATAACTGAATCTAACAATCAAATGCAAGTGAATAGAGCCAGATTAAGAACCTCAAAGATTGTCAATATCAACTACAAATGAGCTTGATTTGACTTTATGATAAGTAAGACTTGAGAATGAGCTCAACAACAGAATAGAGCAAATTCAGTATGCTGAAAATGCCAGAATAGCTCACAACATACCACTCTGCAGCAGCTTTACCTGAAACATGTGACAGAACTGTGCAAGACAAAGTATTCCTCTTTCCCTAATACCATCACTACTATTACCCCTTAGACTTAGATTTCGCAAACAAACATATAGAGTAACTATAGCGATTTTCTCAGTAGGTTGAATATTTCACGTAATTCATAATAGGTAAAATGCCCATCTTCAGATTTGGCAAGAGGGGGCAGAGTAAAAGAACCTCAAGACCGCGCTTGATGAATTTGAGCTTGCGCAAACGATTGATAGTATGGAAAATGTCACCTCTATGAATAGGTAGACCATCACCCATCCAGCTTTGGAAAGCGGATCCGATGGACTCTCCTTTGGGTACACTTTCAATTCTGTGACTTAAGCTGTTCCTTGTTGCCACCATTCCCTGATCTATCAACCTTTCTTCTCTTTTTGATATTGAGTTCTCATTTGCATCGGATACTTTTGAGCAAAAACTGTGACATGAATGAATACTTTGTTTGTACAAAGATATAACAACTGTTGGATGAATTGCACTAATGATCCTATGTTGCCGCAAAATGGTTATGAAGTTCATTGTCGGTATGTCAAACAAAACATACTTTACTCATCAGGACTGCTTAAAGGATGAATTGTTCTGAAATTATGTATTCAGCGCCACTAGCTCGACAGAAACCATTAGAGGGAACCTGCCACGGGTTGATAAAAACAAAAGATCAGGAGTCATTTTGGCATGCAAAACCAGTAAATAAAAATAGTTTCTAGCTCTCTGATGACTCTATTTTTAGGACAGATCTTATTTACAAAAGACATTGGATTATCAATCAATACCCAGAGCAAAACAAATCTCCTATCCTACGAGTTTATTATAATTAGTACTACAGCACAAAAAACTACGTGATGAAAATATTACACTACTTAAGATTGACTTGCAGGCTAACCTAAAAAAGACTTGGAATAGCGTACAGATTTACAACTAATCTCTCATGGATTTATTGGTGCTGCACTTTTTTTCTTGGCGGGAATGACTTATGATAGAATCCGTCTTGTTTATCTTGACGAAGAATTGGAGCAAAAATTGTTAAGTGGATATGCTGTATGATTTCACTGACGTTCTTATGCATTACATGTAATCATTTGTTTCTCTATTCGAATAGGCATGTGAGAAAATGAATAACATTTGAATATGATCAGATTAAAAAAAAACAGGGTCTTAAAGTTCTAGTATAACAACTTAAGCATAAAATAAACACACACACACACACACACACACACATATATATATACCAAAATAGTTCACTCTTATTAGAGTTTTGGTTAAAAATTAATTCAAGTTACATTCCAATTAGGAGTATGAATATTTTAGGGATCTTTACACAAATAGCCGTCCATATTCATATAAATAGTTTATACATTGATAATACACATATAATACATAAATATGTATATATTATACCTCCACCGGCTATTTTTAGTTTAAGCAGTTGGTTGGGCCGCTATTCGGGTTAATTCTTCAATATTTTACCCACTACATATTAGCTTTAACAATTTTGGATAAATCCAGAGAATATCATCCACAAAAAAAAGGCATCATTGGAACACATCATAGAGAAATATGATTGTGTCATCAACTGCACGTTCCGGTACATCATATTCTATCTGTAACAAACCAAACAATCATTAGAACAAATCCAAAATCACCTAGAAGGCAAATTTAAAATCGGGGAAATAGAAATTTTAGTCCTTGTGTTATTGTGTAATTTCAATTTTGGTCCCTGTTTTACTAAGCACTTATAACCTTTAATTAGTTCAAAAATCTGGTTTTGATCCTTGAAGTTAACGATAGTTAAACATTTGCAAACATTAAACATATTTAACTTGTTACCTAATTCATAATTAGAATTCAACTTGTGCTTTCTACTAGGGCTTATTGGGCAGATCGGTTGGATATTTGCGCTTAATGGTTTGGTTGATCAGGCAGTGGCGTAGCCACATAGAGTGAAGGGGGGTAAGTTGAACACCCTTCATCGGAATATTACACTGACTATATAATTACTTTTCATAAATATATATTAAACCTTGACCACCCTTTGCAAAATTCCTGGCTTCGCCACTGTGATCAGTTATCAGTGTTTAAATGTACTAATCTGCCAGCCAACCGAGGTTGGTTCCGTATCGGCTTAGCGGTTGGTTTATCGGCCTAAAGTGAAAATCGAAACATTACTGCCCAACCTAAGTTTTCATTTTGCTTGCAATTTCTGTGAAACTCTGGTGAAACAAAAGCACACAGATAAATCAAATTTCTGCAATGATAAATACTAGATTGTTCAAATAATGTGTCACACATAGCAAAAACTAAGAAGCAAATACAAGTTTACGTGTGCGCTATATTCAACAGCGGCTACTTTCTACGAATACACAACTACATCTAAACATAGTAGAAATGTTAATCTTCCAAAAAAAATTATCCACAACAATTAAGAAAGAAGAAGCAACAACAACATAACATTAAACTTAACTGCAAGCTTTTTTGACAACAGTTTTTCACCAGATTGGAACTCTTTTTATCTCAGCATGGAGCTAAATAGACAGATTTCCCAAAATAGAACTAGAAAGAAGAAAGAAGTGGAAATTGATTGGAAGAAATTTCATGAATTCTGAATATGAATTTGCATTTGGAAGGTTTAATGGCGGAACTCTTTAGAACTCACTAACCCTTCATTTCATATTTTATTTTTTACATTTTTAATACTCATCCGATCCGTCAAATATTTTTAACTTTCTTTATAACTTCAATGGTCAAAACCACACTTTTAAAATAATTGAAGGTTATAAGTGCTTAGTCAAATAAAACAGGGATCAAAACTGAAATTAAGCAAGAACACAAACTACAAAATTTCCAATATTAAGGGTGTGTTTAGTCAAATAAAATAAGTGAATGGTTCTATCACTTATTTTTTCTTGTTTGGTTGGAGTGAGAAATTTTTTCCGAAAAATATTTTCTAGTGTTTGGTTAGAAAGTAGAAAATAGTTTAGGAAAATAATTTTTTATGCTACTTTTCTCAACCCCTTCCCCAGTCCCCATGTTTCTAGTGCTCCCCTCTCCCCTTCCCCACAAATACCCAATTTTTTTTGAACTATATTTTCTTCAAGAATTTAATTATTCTTCTAAAAATTCATACAAACCCAAAGGAACTAATATGATGCTTTAATTTTTTTATGCAAAAACAACATTAAAATTTATGCTCTAACTCAAAAGAAAATACTCTTTTTTTGTTGTTGAAAAGAACATACTCTTTCTACAACATGAAAATAAAGTACTTATTTTGTTGAAATAAAAGAAAATACTTTTTGGACATCATGAAAATAAAATATTTATTTTGTTGAAATGAAAGAAAATATTTTTTCTGTATCATGAAAAGATTGAAATGAAAGAAAATACTCATTTTATTGAAATGAAAGAAAATACTTTTTCTACTTCGTGAAAAGAAAATAATATTTTTGTTAAATGAAAGAAAATACTTTTTACTGCATCATTTTGTTGAAATGAAAAAGAAATATTTTTTAATATATACATTTTGTTGAAATGAAAGAAAATACTTTTTTTACATCACGAAAAGAAATACTTTTTTGGTTAAATGAAAAAAATATTTTTTTATATCATCAAAAGAAAATACTTATTTGTTCAAATGAAAAAAAGTATGATATCTATAAGATGAAAAGAAAGTATTATTAATAATATTTTTATTTAGAGTAGGGTTGGGGGGTCGGGGTGGGAATGGGGGC